GAGAAGAAAGAAGAGAAGGCAGAGGAAAAGAAAGAAGTAAAGGCGGAAGAGAAGAAAGAAGAGAAGGCAGAGGAGAAGAAAGAAGAACCTAAACCACCATCCCCATTTGTCTTGTTTGTGGATTTGCACTGTGTGGGATGTGCAAAGAAGATTGAAAGGACACTTCTTAGGATAAGAGGTCACTCTCTCGACTGAAAATTTACGTGTAAAATGAGCCTTCTTTGTAATTTATATATTATTGATCTTTGCAGGAGTTGAAGGAGTTGCGATCGACATGGCTCAAAACCAAGTGACTATAAAGGGAGTTGTGGAGCCTCAAACAGTATGCAACAGACTTATCAAGAAAACCAAGAGAACAGCCAAAGTCTTATCGCCATTACCGGAAACTGAGGGTGAACCTCTACCAGAAGTTGTTGCCTCACAGGTAGAAAAAATCTGACATTTGTTTTTTTTTTCAAATTCAAATTATAATCCCAAATCTTTTTTGAAAAATGTTTTCGATTGACATCCAGGTTAGTGGATTGGCTTCTTTGGAACTTAATGTGAACATGCACTGTGAGGCCTGTGCTGAGCAGCTTAAGAAAAAGATACTCAAAATGAAAGGTAATACTTGGTATACATGCTAAACATGACTTGCCATGGTAATAACTCTGTTATTTCTATTAAAACTTGAGTTTCATTTTAAATGGTCAACCTTATTGAAATGAGTAGCCAAACCTTTATATGTTGGTCTATATTTTCATTTGTATTCAATGTCGGATTTATCCCTTGACATCGCGAGATGGCGCAGACCAATCTAGATGTTTGTGTGCTTATTTTTGAGTTTAATCGGATCGAACTGCTCTTTGGAGCTTAATGAGCATTGATACCATATTAAAACTTATATTCTATCTTAAAAGGTCAATTTTATTAAGAAGAGTAGCCCAAATCTTATATGTTTGTCTATATTTTAATCTTTATTCGATGCGGGATTTAACCCTTAACAGTTCCTATTAAAATCTCTCTTGGTGTTTACGGTTTCGTTATAGCATCTGGATTGTGTACTATAGGTGTGAGGACAGTTGAAACCGAATTAAGCTCTGGGAAAGTGATAGTAACAGGCACCGTGGATGCAGACAAGCTCGTTGATTACGTCTATAGATGCACAAGAAAGCAGGCCAAAATTGTCCCCCAGCCGGAACCTGAGAAGCCCGCCGCAGAAGAATCAAAGCCTGAAAACAAAAAAGAAGAAAAACCAGCTGAAGAAGCAAAACCCGAAGAGAAACCACCGGAAGAGGGAACGAAAGAAGGCAAGGAGGAGCAAGGTGGTGAAAACAAAGAGGAAGCCAAGAAAGGAGAGGAGATCGTTAGTGATGAAATGTCCATGCAGAAAATGATGCATTATTATCAGCCTCTTTATTACATTGAAAGAATTCCCCCACCTCAGCTCTTTTCTGATGAAAATCCAAATGCTTGTTGCATTGCATAATCACTAAAAATCACAGATTATTTTTTCTTTTCTTGTGATTTTTGACATATCTAAGTCATTATCGAATGCAAGGTTCAGTTTCTCAATTATATTCGACTGAATGATGGTATAATAATCATTCTGTAATTCCTGTTTCATATTTTATACATATGATTGAAGAGCTTAATAAAAATCTTCTTCTATTCTATATTCATATTTTATTCTATATGTGGCATGTATTATTATTATGGAGATCAAACATAGGACATACTCTAGCGAAAGATGCAAAAAACAAACTTTCCCCGTCTAGAGAGGCAGTATAAAGAAATATACTTCATTTCCCTAGTCATGCTTGTCATATGCCAGAGTGTAGTTTTTCCCTGTCTCTTGGTTAAATTCGAACAGGCTACTTCTGGTTTGGTTCAGCTAAAAAATTGTATTAAATTCTAATTAAAAATTAACAATTAATTTCAACCATACATTTCATCAACCCAAAACTTTTCAACTACTCGTTTCATGGACTTTTATCAAAATATACTACAATCTGATTTTAATCCAAAACAAACCGGGGCAAAAATTTATTAGTGTATCCCAATTTCAAAAGGTCCTCCATACTTTCCTCTCAATCTCCATGAGTGTATCTTAAAGCGTCCCCGGAATTTCCCTCGTGATGAAAACGCAGGGTCTACATTCTCGCCTCACTCGCAACCTGTCGCCACCTTCAGTGCAGACTATTCTCTTCATTAGCACTTTCAGTATCCAATCACATATTCCACTTTCTTTTATGCTTTATACTTTCCCTCATCCACTTTTGTTTAATTTCAAGATCCAGATAGTTATGGTAGCCTACATTGACAGACTGTCTTTTCTTATAATTATAGAAGGAATTAGCAACTTTTTCAATGGAATTAACAGCCTTTTCTTCATATAATGAAATAAACTTCTCCTCATGTGCCAAACAAGTATGGGCAGGGAATTCAGACCAGCTTTTCTACTGGCAGTTCAAATAAGACAAGACAAGCATATATTTTTGTATATGTCCGTTTGCTTTCCTTCCCCCGCTCGACAAATAACATGGTTTAGTGAGTTGTAATGGTCCAATATGCAATGTACAAACATTTCACGTCTCTCATTTTCGTGTATATATAAATAGGCCTTTGGGATCTTCTGCATTGAGGCTTAGTCTGAAAGCTTAGGCTAAGTAATTTTATTTTTTAATTATAAAAAGTTACTTTCGTCAACTTAAATTGCTATAAACTACATATGAAATTAAGCCCCTATTTGGTGTGGCTTAAAAACTTTGATAGATTTTCAAGAAAGTCAACAATTAATTTTAATCACACATTTTATAGAACTTACAACTTTTCAATCAAATCTATGAAATATGATCAGTGCAAAATTCGACGATCTAAAAATAAGATGCTAACTTGTGGGCTACTCTATTCTCCTCAAATAGAATAAAGCAGTAAGATTCACATTAAAATCTTGCAGCACAACGAGGTAAGATAGTTGCATTTGGGGCACACTGACAATTTGAATTTAGGCTTGGGACGTCCCGAAGAGAGACGCTCCACAACTCAATTTGGAAGCCCTTTTCTTTGGCAAAGATCGGTGAGCATTTTTTCTCAGAACTAGTGGAATCAGACCGAACCAAATAGAATCGGTCGGTTTGGTTTTGGTTCCTCTAATAAATGGGTCGATTTTGGGACAATGCATTGAGAATCAATCGGTTCTGATCTAGTTCTCGATACTGCCTTGAGAACCAGTAATGAATTCGGTTCTCCTCAAATTCTCTTGTTGCCTGCTCTAAGGTGCATTAGATCTTTGAACACTAGACCCTAAAATTATGTCACGTTAAATTTTCATTTTCCATATGCTTCTTCTTCTTTCCTTTAATGGGTAATCAAAATTCAAGTATAAATAATTTTATAAGTACTTTACAACTTTATAATTTTAATGTGACCCAATAAGAAAAATATATTTTTAGTTCAATATTTCATAAGAATTCACATATTTAGTTGTTTCCAAAGTGATTGACCATCAAGAATCAAGATCCTTGAGGATTATTATAAATAATCAAATTACTATTATAAGAATTTTCTTAAAAACTATTTTTAATCGAGATTTAACCATGTTTAATAATTCTTTTTCGATTTTAGAATGAATTGTACCCGTTTGGCCTCCAATAATTTTCATTCCATTACATTTCATTTTTCTCTCTCCTATTTTTAACCACACAATCTTCCATAAAATAATATTAAACGTAAATCGAAAACTTTTCCTTCTTTTTTAATCACTCATTTTTCAAAAAAATACGATTCCACCAATTAATTTTTCCACGAAATGGGGACTAGTTTGTCGCCTTGTTCATTTTTATTTATTTTATTTTATTTTGGTGTTGTTAGATTAAAAGAATAACAAGTGGTATCATACTTTATTTGTCTTTTCTCAATTGACAAGTAGTTTCATATTTTATTTTTACAATTTTTCAATATAAAAAACCGGACCAAATTGAAACAGAACCGATTGGTTCGATTTCGATTCGATTCTATAGTTGGATATGAAATCAATGGTTCAATTTCTAATATTCTCATTGGCATCCGAATCGATTCCCTTCAGGATTGGATCGAATCAGACCGCGTCCACTCCTAGGCAAAGAGCAGGCCAGGTTTCATGCCTACTGCTTCCATATACTCCATCAAATATTGTCGTCAATAGCAGTTTGCACACGTCATTACTATCGTACAATATTCATTCCCCTATGGCTATGGTCATAATATGTTGTGTTATGATCACGTGCAGATTGGGTCCCTTTTTATGCGTACAATCATATTAGAATTGAGTTTGTTCTCAATAAATTTATATGAAGAATATTTTTTACCATCGAAAAGTAAAAGGAATATTTCGGTTAGGGTTGACGTGGTGTGTCTTTCAAACATGAGCAGCATCATGTGGATTGAACATGGTGGGGTCCGAACCTTTTTATGATGTAATGAGATCTGACTCATCATCTGAATTGACAATGGAATGCTTTGAACTTAATTAATTGTTTAACATTTGATTTCAGATAATTAATCTTTGTTTATTCCTGGACTTTTTTTTTTTTATTTGAAAGAACACAAGATTTAGGGCGTCTAAATCATGTGCCCAAGATTTAGGACGTCTAAATCATGTGTGGTTTTTAATAAACTAAATTTTGGGTTA